CACACACACACACACACACACACACACACACACAAGAGATGCTGAAAGCAGACAGGAAGGAGAGGAGGCTGTGCACACTCAAGGTGCTGGGAAGTCCTTCCTGAGAGCTCACTTCCAACAGCCCTCAATCACCTCTGCACCCACTGTGGCCACAGGTCAGTCACTGTGACTCTTCAGAGGACTCCTGATGCCTCCTACCATCCAGGAAAGACCAGCACCAGCCCCGCCCCAGGCCCTCCCCTCCCCTCCCCTGCCCCCCAGGCCCTTCGTTCCCCCTCCCCCCAACCGCCCCCCAGGCCCCAGGCCCTCTGCGGGGGCCCCCCCCCGTCCCTCCCCTCCCCCTTCCTCCTCTCATTTCTCTTTGGAATCGCTTCACCAAAAGTTCATTTTGAAAGAAATCGATTTCCAAGCTCTCGGAGATGCAATTTGGTTTTTCATTTTGAAGATATGATGGTTAAGGAAAAGTTTGGAGACTTAATCACCGTGGAAGGCTTGGGAGATAAAGGATCCTCTGCCCCCAGCCAGGGTGATTGGCGGCAGGCATCTTTTGCTATGACAGCAGAACACAGGTATGCCAGGCAACTGCCACCATGTGATACAAATGGTCACACTGTACGCTCATACAGCTACAAACATACACATATCTATCACACGTATCTACCCATGCTCTCACACAACCATGTATAACATGCACATACATATATGTATGCACACTCATGCTCTCACAGCCACACATGCACACATGAGATGCACACATAGGCATACACACATGCATGCATACCCACAATGACAAACGTGTCACACAGGCTCGCACATGTACATGCATGTGCACCCATGCACTCCCACAACCACAACACACATCTACCCACATATTCATACATACGTATGTGTATACCACACAAAAATGTACATGCGATACATTTATGTGCATGCGCGCGCGCGCGCACACACACACACACACACACACACAGAGCCCTTCCTCAGCACAGTACCCTTTGGCAGCCCCTTCCCTCATAGCCCAGACAGGGGACTGTGAAAAAAATTGCCCTCATCGCCCTAGTCGACTCTGCCTCCCGTCTCCACTCAATCTTGCTCTTGAGCCAATCACAATTGTTTCTAGGCTGGTTATTCCAACAGTCCTTTATAGATCTGACCCTGCAAGGACTCAAGACTCAGAATCATTACCTCACTTAAGAACATTCATAGGCCAGGCAGTGGTGGCGCACGCCTTTAATCCCAGAACTCGGGAGGCAGAGCCAGGGGGATCTCTGTGAGTTCGAGGCCAGCCTGGTCTACAGAGTGAGTTCCAGGAAAGGCACAAAAACTACACAGAGAAACCCTGTCTCGAAAAACCAAAAACAAAACAAATATTCATTGGCTCCCTGCGGCTGGCTAGCTGACAATCACATGCAAACCATGGCCGCGGTAACCCACGCACACGTGTGCATGCACACACCCCACCCCCACCCATCACTCTCACTCTTTGGCACCGGGAAGATTGCAGGTGTTCATGTGAAGGTAGGTATGCCCTTGGGAAACTCCGATCAGACACTCTAAGACGGGAGCCCACACTTCCTGGGCCATGGAGCCACAAGAGGCCCTAAACCCCACTCAGCCCCAACCTCTAGCCCACTCTTGCACACCCCCAGGGCTGGGGAGCTCACCTCCGCCCACCTACCTACCTGGTCTCCTGTGAAGTTGGAGTCCCGCTCTGTGCTGAGTGCAGCGCTGGCCCCAGGACTTCTGCGCTGAGGTCATGATCTGGGTCCCCTCTGCCAGCCACTCAGACTCCTGTCAGGCGCTGTCCCCACCCCAGGCTTCTTGACCATGTCCCTAGAATTGTGTCAGGCTTGGTAAGCGGCAGACATTCACGCGTGAGACACGTAGCCTCAGACGAAGGATGGGGGGCTGAGGGTGAGAGGTACGGGCACCATAGTCCCTTCCACGAATGTCCTTCTGAACGCAGGGAATCTTGGGGAGATGGGCGTGGTAACAGGAGTCATCAGATCCGACATTTTCTTGATGGGGTGGCATCAGAAGGTTTCATGGGGGAAGTGGGGTGTGAAATGGAGCCCAGAGGGGCAAGGGAGGCCAGCCAGGTCATGGATATGGCTCTTAGGGACTTGGGTCACCCTGAGCTACCTCTTTTCTTTTTCTGGGCATGTGACCCGAGCTGGAAGAGTGTCACAGCATAGCACTTCCGGGTCATCCAGATGTTCTGGCCCTGCAGCTTCCACACACAAGGAAGAGCCTGAACTCTGGTATCAGGGAGGCTGGGCACAGACCCTAGCCCGGCTCTTTGCTCTTTGACCAGAATCCAGTAAAGGGCCGTGTACGGTGAGGCTCAGGACAGACTGGCAGTGGTGGACTTCCGGCCTGCCCAACTCTCCTCCCCGGGGGGCGGGCGGAAGAGAGATGCAGGAACACGTGGTGTTACCCCAGGGACCAGTCAGGTCCTCGGCCCAGATTCCTCACTCCTGCCCCAGTTTGGGGCCACTGCACTGGCAGGGCCGCATCCGGCCTACTTCTCCAGGAGGCCTGGGGATTCCTGGGAGGTCCCGGGCCTTGCCCACCACCACTTTTAGCCTCCATTCCACACTCAACTCATACAAGGGCCATCGGCTTGGCACAGGATGAGTTCAGCACAAGGACCCTGCTCCCTCCCCAGGCAATGCCATCCCTTTGATATCTAGGATGGACTACCTCCGAGGGCACAGAAGCCAACCATACTGTTTCTCAGATTCCACTCTCACCACCAACCTGCAGCCCACTCCCTCCAGCCCAGAACATTCCAACTCGTTGCCTTCAGGTCGAGCAGTGGCCAGGGAGGTGGAGTCTCAACTATTTGTCGGGGGTTTTGTTTTTTTTCTCGAGACAGGGTTTCTCCTGTTGTTTTGGTGCCTGTCTTGTCTCGATCTGTAGACCAGGCTGGCCTTGAACTCGCAGAAATCTGCCTGCCTCTTTCTCTTAAGTGCTGGGATTAAAGGCCTGCGCCACCACCGCGGCTATTTGTCTGTTTTGAAACAGTCTCCCTAGATAGGCCAGGCTGGCTTTGAACTTCCTTCCCATGGTCCTCTTCCCTCTATCTCCTAAAGGCTGGGTTTACAGGTACATACCACCAAGCCCAGGGAAATACAACCCTTGAGATTTTTGTTTGTCTCAATGCTGGGGATGGAGTCCCAGGCTGTGTGCATGTTTGGCCAGTGCTCTGTTGCCCAAGCTGCACCCCCAACCCCAGTCCAGATCTTGAGATTTTTGTTTCCCCCACCTTCTTTTTTCTCTTAAGTGAGGGATGTGAGGGGGCCAGGAACAAGGTCTCACATCGTATTTTAGGAACTTAGGCTGGCCCTGAACTCCCAGCAATCCTCCTGCCTCAACCCTCCAGAGGGCTGGGATCACACGTATGAGGCATCACACAAGCATGCTACAACACTCACTCATTCAAAACTCGAATCAGAGCGTGCAGCTCCTAGCAGTGGTACCCACCTTTAATCTCAGCACTCAGGAGGCTGAGGCAGGAGGATCATGAGCATAAAGCCAACCTGAGCTACATAGCAAGACCCTGCCAGGGGCAGGGTACTTTAAAGAGCAAGGAAGCTGCCACAGGGGTGTGTATGCATTTCCTGGAAAGAGCAGGTTTGGTGGGTGCATCTCTGGAGCCCTGGGAGACACCAGAGAGTCCTTGAGCTCAAGGACAGGGCCCACCACAGGCTCAGAGGCAGCATCTGGGGGGCCGGGGGGACAAGCGTGGAGGCTGCCTGGGCTGTGGACTGAGGATGCTGCTCTCGGGACAGATGCAGCATCTAGAGGCACCCTTGCTAGTGAAGGGACACCCAAACCCTAGCAGATAGAGAAACAAGGGCCTCGGGAGCAGTGGCAGAAGGATCTCTATGTGAGCAAAAGCAGGACTAGGTCTACGGAGCTTGGTTCCTCGGTATTAGTTACATCTCTGCCACCTGAGTTCCCAGTCTGGATGAGGCCCCTCTTGTCACAAAGCACACTTTACCACGAGGGGACAGTGTCCAGCGGCTACAAGGGACGTGGTTGGCCTAGGTGAGTTCTGAGCCCTGGAGACTGAGGAGCTCACCTCCATGGAGAATCTTGAGCAGACCCAGCCGCCCCCCTCCCTCCTCCCTTCCTATCCACCATCGGCTCCCTCCCTGGGCTACCTGCCAACCCCTTCCCACCTCCTGGGCCCTGGGCCCCAGTAGGGCTGAGAGTGTGTGTTAACACAGCCCCCAATCCTATCATTAGTGCTAATGACTCCAGTCAGCACCACGGGTGGGTGGGTGGGTGGGTGGGGGGTGACACATGGCCCACCCCAGCCACACAGACAGTGTTAGAAACGGCAGACACCGGCTTGCGGGGAGATTCAGTCACTACACTGCTTGCTGTGAACTTGCGCATCTGAATTGTAAGGAGCACCTAGTGTCTGTTATCCTGGAGTGGGGACACAGAGCCAGGAGGATCCCCGGGGCTTATGGGCCAGCCAGTCTAGCCGAGTACTGGGCTCCAGACTGAGAGACCACGGCTT